GCCGGTATGCCCATCTGTGATTCCATGCAGGTGCGGGTCTCCCTGGGCGCCACCACCCTCGTCGCGCTCCTGGACACCGGCTCCACACATAATTTCATCACCGAGGACGCCGCCCGCCGCACCGGCCTGCCGATCCAGCCGCGCCCGCGCCTCAAGGCCACCGTGGCCAACGGCGAGCGCGTCACCTGCCCGGGCGTCATCCGCCGCGCCCCGGTCATCATTGAGGGCGAGACGTTCTTCATCGACCTTTTCGTCATGCCGCTCGTGGGGTATGACCTCGTCTTGGGGACTCAATGGATGGTCACCCTTGGCCGAGTGGTGTGGGACTTCGTCGCCCGCACCGTCTCCTTCCTGCACCAAGGCCGACAGGTCTCCTGGTCGGACGTCGCCGACCGTCGGCCACCCCTACTCGCCGCCACCACGACACCGAACGCCCTCCTTGAGGAGCTGCTGCACTCCTTCGAGGGGGTGTTTGCCGAGACGGCGGGGCTGCCACCGCATCGAGCACGGGATCACGCCATTGTCCTCAAGCCCGGCTCTACACCTGTGGCGGTTCGGCCCTACCGCTACCCGGCGGCGCACAAGGACGAGCTGGAACGGCAATGCGCCGCCATGCTGGACCAAGGCATCGTACGCCGCAGCGATTCGGCGTTCTCATCGCCGGTATTGCTGGTCAAGAAGCAGGACGGGGCTTGGCGGTTTTGCGTGGACTACCGCGCTCTTAATGCCCTCACCGTCAAGGATGCTTTCCCCATCCCCGTCGTCGACGAACTCCTTGATGAGCTACATGGTGCGCAGTTCTTCACCAAGCTGGACCTCCGCTCCGGCTATCACCAAGTCCGGATGCGGCCGGCTGATGTGCACAAGACGGCGTTCCGAACCCACGACGGCTTCTATGAGTTCCTGGTGATGCCGTTTATGGTTATGCACGCGCCCGCAACAACATCCCAGCGCTCATGAATGACGTGCTCCGTCCATTTCTTCGTCAGTTCGTCCTTGTCTTTTTTGATGATATATTGATTTACAACAAGACTTGGGCTGATCACTTGAGGCACATCCGCGCCGTCCTCGCCGAACTTCACCGCCATGTCCTCTTCGTCAAGCGATCAAAGTGCATCTTTGGGTCACCTTCCGTGACATACCTGGGCCACATCATCTCCGCCCACGGTGTGGCCATGGACCCGGCCAAGGTGCAGGCCATTCACGACTGGCTGGCACCTCGCTCGGCGCGCGCGGTGCGTGGCTTCTTGGGCCTCGCCGGATACTACCGCAAGTTCATCCACGACTATGGCAAGATTGCGGCGCCCCTCACTTCGTTGCTGAAGAAGGAGGGCTTTTGCTGGAACGACGCGGCCCAGGCAGCTTTCCAGGCACTCAAGGCAGCCGTGACGTCGGCCCCGGTGTTGGCACTGCCCGACTTCACCAAGGGCTTCATCGTTGAGTGTGACGCGTCCACGCATGGCTTCGGGGCGGTCTTGCTGCAGGAGCACCATCCGATCGCTTATTTCAGCAGGCCGGTCGCCCCCCGCCACCGCGCTCTGGCAGCGTATGAGCGGGAGCTCATTGGGCTGGTGCACGCCGTGCGCCACTGGAGGCCGTACCTGTGGGGGCGCGCGTTCCTCGTCCGCACCGACCACTACAGCCTCAAATTCCTCCTCGACCAGCGCCTCTCGACGATCCCGCAGCACCATTGGGTGGGCAAGCTCCTCGGCTTCGACTTCTCGGTGGAATACAAGCCGGGTGCCACGAACACCGTCGCCGACGCGCTGTCCCGGCGCGACACCAGCGAGGAGGGCTCGGTCTTGGCGCTGTCCGCGCCTCGCTTCGACTTCGTCGACCGTCTTCGTCATGCTCAACGACAGGAACCAGCCCTGGTCGCCCTCAGGGATGAACTAGCAGCCGGCACTAGGGGCGCGCCGTGGTCGCTGCTGGACGGCATGGTGGCGTATGCTGACAGGCTCTACATTCCGCCGGACTCCCCACTGCTGCTCGAAGTGGTGGCTGCTACGCACGACGACGGGCATGAAGGGGTGCAGCGGACTCTACATCGCCTCCGCCGGGACTTCTACTTCCCCGCCATGCGCCGCGTGGTACAGGACTTCGTCCGCGCATGCGCAACGTGCCAGCGCAACAAGTCGGAACACCTGCACCCGGCGGGACTGCTGCTGCCCCTGCCCGTTCCCCAGGCCGTGTGGTCTGACGTCGGCTTGGACTTCATCGAGGCGCTGCCTCGCGTTGGGGGCAAATCGGTGATCCTCACAGTGGTCGACCGGTTTAGCAAATACTGCCATTTTATCCCACTGGCTCACCCCTACAGTGCAGAGTCCGTGGCCCAGGCGTTCTTCAGCGAGATCGTTCGCCTCCACGGGATCCCTCAGTCCATGGTGTCGGACCGGGACTCCATGTTCACCTCGACGTTCTGGCGGGAGCTGATGCGACTCACCGGCCCCAAGCTGCACATGACGTCCGCCTTCCACCCGCAGTCCGATGGCCAAACGGAGGCGGCCAACAAAGTCATCGTCATGTACCTCCGGTGTTTCACTGGGGATCGGCCACGGCAGTGGCTGCGATGGCTGCCATGGGCGGAATATGTCTACAACACGGCGTATCAATCGTCGCTCAAGGACACTCCATTCAAGGTGGTCTACGGTAGGGACCCCCCCTCCATCCGCTCTTATGAGTCTGGAGAGACCCGGGTGGCGGCGGTGGCCAAGACAATGGCGGCACGCGAGGAGCTCCTAGCGGATGTCCGCTATCGCCTGGAACAAGCCCAGGCTGTCCAGAAGTTCTACGACCGCCTGCACCGACCGGTCTCCTATGCCGTGGGTGACTGGGTGCTGCTGCGCCTTCGCCAACGGGCAGCTTCCTCTCTTCCCCAGGCGCCCAAGGGCAAGCTGAAGCCACGCTTCGTCGGGCCTTACCAAGTCACCGAGTGCATCAACCAGGTGGCTGTTCGTCTAGCGCTGCCCCCGCGTGCCAAGCTGCACGATGTCTTCCACGTCGGCCTTCTCAAGAAGTTCGTCGGCGCACCACCGGCTACGCCACCTCCCCTCCCACCCATTCATCATGGGGCGGTGACTCCGGAACCGGAGCAGGCTGTTCGGTACCGGCTGGCAAAGGGTGTTCGGCAGGTGCTCATCCGCTGGAAAGGGCAGTCCACTGCTGGTGCTACTTGGGAGGATGTTGCAGACTTCCGCGACAAATTTCCCCAGTTTCAGCTCGAGGACGAGCTGACCGTCGAGGGGGGGAGAGATGTCATGTACGGGCGCACCTATAGGCGCCGTCGTGACGCCAGGAGGGCTGCGGAGCGCGCGGCCAAGGCAGGTGCCACCGTCAGTGGCTAAGTTTAGAAAGATAGGACTTAGTTTCCTTTTGCATGCCTTAATTATAGGAGAGTTTGGTTGGGCCATTGGCCATATATGCCATGTAACAGACTTGGAGAGAACCAGGCAAGATCAATTATCCTAAAGTTGCTCCTCTCTTCCAAACTCTCTCAAGCCACCGGTGAGATCTTCTCACGGTGAAGGCCTGGAGCGCGACTACGAGTTACGTAGCCGCGGTCCGGCGACGTTGAGCGTTGAGGCGCTTGACAATTTCATTTCCACTCTTTTACTTCTGATCTGATACACCATTTCTTCCCCTCCCCCACTAGGTTATCTTTGTTTTTTTTACTCAAGAACATGCACATAGTGCAGTGGTAGGGATGCAGGAAGACAACCTACAGTCAGAGAGTTCGACTCCTCGTTCTCATAAAAAAGGCCACTCCTTGTGCTATTTTCAGCGAATACATGGTCTACTAATGGTTTCAGCGTGATACGCGGCTGCAGGTGTGTCCTTGCCGTTAGTGGCACGTCCTAATTAGCCAGGGTTTGTGACCTTTTCTCAACCATGCAGAAGAGAATCTTCTAACTTTCCTTCAATGCCTTGGGGGAAGTCTTACCCCCAGGTGTCGAGTATTTTTTACTCCATAACATGTTACTAGCTCCTTGCTACATACATGTGCAATAATACCCTAGGGGAAAATGGGAAAAGGCACTGTTCACTGATCTTAAGTTCTGAATTCATCAATATTGAAACTTCCTTGTCTTTGAAATAACACATTTTTCGGACTTTCAGTATTGAAACTTGGCGATGGCTGCGTCATAGGGCCTTTATTTGATGTTGGGCGTCATGCTATATTTTCTATCACAACCAGGCACTAACACAATCTGGCAATTTATAAATCAAACCATCAATTGTGAAAACTAGTAAGCAGGAATTGCACAATTCTCAACTGCTGCACTTCCACCAAGAGGGAACAGGTAAACACCCTATACTGGCCCAAATCTTTCCTCGTCATCTGCTATATAAGTTATCTTCATCTGTCCTCCATGATCAAACTTGGTTTATAATTATCTGTCTCTGATCAATATAATACTACTCATGATACTGTGATCTGTAAATTTGCCGTTATAAAGTAATGTTGCTGAGATATAAAACGAAGTTACAGTAGCCCAACAAAACGCGATTCATCCAATAACATGCTCCAAGCAAGGCGTGGCTTTTCTAGTCATAGAGTAATTTGTAACCAAAATTTATCACAATCAGGTAGATATTATAAAGTATGAGTACGGGTATAGTTCTAGAAATCAAACAAACGAGAAAGAGAACTAAAATAAGTGATTTGATTAGTTAAGGGCCCAAATTTATCCATGAGACCATGAATTTAAAAGTATCATCTTGTGAATGTTCACATTTGATGGCTAGTCCACTAAATTGGAATCTATAGTGTAGTCTCTTAATCCAAAATGTAGAGTACAATATGCTAGGACACTTTTAAATTTTCAAACATTGAAATATTGTTTCGAATGGATCGTATATCTTTATAACATTTATAATGTATTGGTTTTATATATGGTGGAATATGTTAGAATGAAAGAAAGTATAATAAAAAAGCATGGGAAACATATTTATCTACTCTTTCCGTTATTGTTAGGTTCATCAGCGATGAGTTAAGGACGATGCAAGCTTTCCTCAGAGCAGCCAATGGAGCGCGTGAGAACACTGGGGTGCTCAAGGCGTATTTGGAACTGATCCGCGACTTGGCCTATGACATTGAAGACAGTCTCGAGGAGTTCATGGTTTTCATCAAGCACAAGAGCCTTCTGCAGCAACTGCTTAGCTTGCGAGCGCGTCATCGCATTGCTGTCCAGATACGCACTCTCAAACTTAAGAGTCCAGGAGGTGAGCCAGAGGAACACACGGTACAACTTGATCAAGCGCACACCTTCCATCTCCAGTGATGTGACACTTGACATGGAGCTGACTCGAAATCTCACAGCACTATATGTTGAGGAAACACAGCTATTTGGTTTGGAAAAACAGAAGGAGAAACGAATGGACTTAATGGCCAAACCTAAGGTGCCTGTGGACATGGAGCCAGGAATAAGCAGATCTGGTCCAAGAGTGGTATCTGTTGTTGGAATGGGTGGCCTTGGCAAGACAACTCTTACCAAGAAAGTGTATGATAGCAAGGATCTTGGTGACATTTTTGAGATCCGTGCTTGGATTGCAGTGTCTCAATCATTTGACCCAAAAGAGCTTCTCAAAGAGATGATCAAGCAACTCTTTGGGGCTCACTCATTGAAAGAATTCTTAGAAGAACATCAAGGGCAAGTGCTGGAAGTAAAACACCTCACGAACTACCTGCGTGGAGGACTCCTGGAGAGAAAGTATCTTGTTGTTCTGGATGATGTTTGGACCCTTGATGCTTGGAATTGCATGTGTCTTGCTTTCCCGGAGAACAGTAAGGATGGCAGTTGTGTAGTATTGACTTCATGAAATCACAAATTAGCTGAGCTTTGTAGCCCCCCCCTCACAGATATACCAACCTGAAATCCTTGAGGAAAAAGATGCTAGAAGCTTGTTTCTGAAAAAGACAAATAAAAGCTCAGGTGACTTAGACAAAGATGATCGTACCAAGGGAATAGTTGAGAAGATACTGAACAAATGCGGAGGACTACCACTCGCCATAGTGACAATAGGAGGCCTACTAGCCAACAAGGATACAAGGGAGTGGGAGAATCTGTACAATCAACTCCCTTCAGAACTTGCAACCAATCCTAGCCTTGAAGCACTGAGGCGAGTGGTTCATCTTAGTTACAACCATTTGCCTTCACATCTGAAGCCTTGCTTTCTGCATCTCAGCATCTTTCCCGAAGATTTTGAGATTGAACGCAAACACCTGGTGGATAGGTGGGTAGCTGAAGGGTTTGTAACAATTGCTACTAATAGGAGAACACTTGAAGAAGTTGCTGAAAGTTACTTCTATGAACTCATCAGTCGAAGCATGATTCAACCAGCTAAGTTAGATGCTCTTGGAAATGTGAAGACTTGCAGGGTTCATGATATTGTGTATGATATTGCAGTGTCAATCTCTAGCCAGGACAACCATGTTTTCTTAGTTGAAGAGCATACAAGTTCCACCACTACATCAAAAGAAAGCATCCGGCACATATCATGCTTTGCGAATAGGAAACTGAATATTGGCATGGACTTAAGCTGTGTTAGGTCTTTTACTGTGTTTGGAGAACCTTTGGAGCCAATAGCGTCACTTTGTTCTTCTAAATTCAAGATGCTCAGGGTTCTGGATCTTAAAAATGCAGATTTCCGTGCAGAGCAACAAGACATCAGAAACATAGGGTTGCTGCTACACTTGAAGTACTTGCATTTTCCTAATATGGTTTCAGACATGTATTCTCTTCCAAGATGCATAGGAAACCTGCAAGCCTTGCAGATTCTGGACATACGGAAATCAAGTTTTTCGGCACTACCAACTAACATGACTAAAGTTCAAAATCTTCGCCGGTGCAGCAGGGTACCAGGAATTGGTTATAGCGCCTTAGATTTATTGAAACTAGCCACCCATGGTGATGGTAATAATGCAACTGCCATTCTGCACATGACCTTGTCTAGCTGCTGGTCTTTTTCATCTGGCATCAAAGTACCAAAAGGAGTGGGAAGTTTAAAAGAGCTACAAATACTAGAGAAGGTTGATATCAAGCGAACAAGTCGAAAAGCAATTAAAGAGCTAGGGGAACTAACTCAGCTAAGGAAGTTAGTTGTGAGAGGCAAAGGGGCCTCCAAGAAAAAGTGCAGTGCATTCTGTATAGCTGTGCAGAAGCTGTCCTCCCAATGTGGGTACTAACGAGAAGAAGGGTAAAACAGATGGGCTGGATATGTTGGTTTCTTTTACATCCCCTCTCCCTTTCCCCTCACTCGAGAGTCTCAAATTGAAGGGGCTTCTTCAGGAGATGCCTACATGGGTTGGTAAATGCGTGAGCTTGGTGAAGATTGACTTGAAGTATTGTGAGCTTAAGGAATTGGAGGCCATAACTGAACTGCCAAACCTGATGCAACTTCGTCTTTATATTAATGCATATAATGCAGAGAAATTTGTGTTCCGCAAGCATGCATTCCCAGAGCTGAGTGATGGATAAGTCTGGCTGGTCTGATCTTTGTGGCGCTGCTGGCTGTTGCTGCCACAAGGATAGCATCTTAGCATCTAGGACAGCATCTTAGAGGACAACATCTTAGAGGACAGCATCTTAGCATCTTAGACTAGCATCTTAGCATATGCTTGGCTGGCTAGCAGTCTATAAATATGTATCCCCAATCCCTCAGGTTGGCATGGCATTTGTGTGAGAAATAAACCAGAAAATTGCCTCAACTCCTAGTGACATCCTCTCTTGATGAGAGTAAGAATTCTGCTACTACCAAGAGTAAGAATTCAGCGACTAACAACTGGTATCAGAGCCGTACTATCCTGTAGCCTAAGCATCTCCTGCTCATCTCCTTTCCCAGCCTTGCAACAGCCCCAGCTGGGAGCAGCAGCAGCTCCGGCTGCTCCGGCCGCTCCTGCTCACTCCTCTCCCTCTACGCAGCTGAAGCAGCCCTCTCCCTACGCAGCAGCCCCCTGGTAGCGCGTCATGTCCGCAGGGCAGTCTCAGCGCTAGGTCGCCTCGAGCACGCGGCGTCGGCAGGAGGCCGAACTTGCCGCGGCAGAGGAACGCGAGCGAGCGGTGGCAGAGACCGCTGCCGCGGCGGAGCAGGCAGCAGCCAGAGCGGAGGTGGAAGCGGCGGCGGCGGCGGATGCAGCGCGCGCGGCGGCAGCGGAGGTCAAGGTTCTGCGCGGCAGCATCAGCAGCTCCGTTTCTACTGACGACAGCGCTGACGCGGACCTCGAGCTGCTAGGGAGAGAGGCAGGACGAGCGCGGGCGGCGCAGTGGGCAGCCGCGCACGCCCATGAGCGCGGCAGCAGCCCAGACAGGCGCGGACGCGCCGGCGGCGCTCCTGGAGGAGGCGCGCACGACGACGGTGGTGGACGGGTCGATGGAGAGCGCGGCCTTCACAAGCAGCGTTGCTCTCTCTCCCCGGATCGGTACCGTGGTTACCACGGGCTTCAGGCTGTCGTCAGGGACGTCGGCCCCAGCGGTGGGTGGCCTACCCTCACTAAGACCAACTACGTCGAGGGGGCTGCGGTGATGAGGGTAAAGCTCCAGGTGCGGCACATGTGGGAGGCAGTCCGGTACGGCGACGTCGACTACGACCGAGATCGACGGGCGCTGGATGCCCTCATTGCTGCAGTCCCGTTCGAGATGTAGTTCTCGCTTACCAACAAGCGGACTGCCAAGGAGGCTTGGGACGCCATCGCTGTGGCACGCATCGGCAGCGACCGCGCCCGTAAGTCCACACTGTAGGCACTTCGCAAGGAGTGGGAGAACCTGTCCTTCAAGCCAGGTGAGGACATTGATGACTTTGCCCTCCGTCTCAACACTCTGTTGCAGAAGATGGTGCAGTTCGATGATGACACCTACGGCGAGGAGAGAGCTCTCGAAAAGCTCTTCCGCCCGTCCCCGAAAAGTACTAGCAGATGGCTCGCTCGATCGAGTCCCTGCTGGATCTCTCCACGATATCGATCGAGGAGGCGATAGGTCGCCTCAAGGTCGTCGACAGCGATGAGCCACAGTCTCTCTCGGGGCTCATCACCACTGGCGGGAAACTCCTCACTCGGGAGTAGTGGGCTGCTTGCCAAGGTGACTGGAAGAAGGGGGAGCCTTCTTCCGCGACAGGCGGCCGCAAGCGTGGCAAGGCGCGCAGAGACGCCCAGGCCAGGGCACGAGGACGTGCCGAGGGTGATGCCCGCGGAGGCTCCTAGGGCGACGCCGCCGGCAAGCATAAGCCGGCATGAGACGACACTTGCCGCAACTGCGGCCAGCTTAGCCATTGGGCCAAGGACTGTCGACAGCCATGACGCGGCCAGGCCCACGTCGCACAGGTAGAGGAGGAGGAGCCGGCTCTGTTCATGGCACATGCAAGCATCGAGCTACCTCCAGCGGCACCGGCCGCAGCGGCTCTCCTCCACCTTGACGAGCCAAAAGCACACGCCCTCCTCGGCGACAGCTCCGGCAACGACAAGACTGACGGGTGGTGCCTTGACACCGGTGCCACCCATCATATGACCGGTCGATGGGAGTTCTTCACAGAGCTTGACTTTAGCGTCCGAGGCTCCGTCAAGTTTGGGGATGCCTCCGGCGTGGAGATCAAGGGCGTCGGCTCCGTCATCTTCACCGCCGTGTCTGGTGAGCATAGGCTGCTCACCAGAGTCTACTATATCTCCGCGTTGAGGAACTCCATCATTAGCTTGGGACAGTTGGATGAGAACGGTTCGCGCGTGGTGGTTGAGGATGGAGTCATGAGGATTTGGGATCGCCGTCGTCGCCTTCTTGCCAAGGTATCTAGAAGTGCAAATTGACTCTACATCCTTAACGTACAGGTGGCACAACCCCTCTGTCTCGCTGCTCGTCGAGACGACGAGGCGTGGCAGTGGCACGAGGGCTTCGGGCACCTTCACTTCGAGTCCCTGAAGCGGCTCAGTGCCACGGAGATGGTGCGAGGCCTGCCGTGCCTCGACCATGTGGAGCAGCTCTGCGACGTCTGCGTGTTGATGAAGCAGAGGCGACTCCCCTTTCCCCAGCAGGCGAGCTTTCGAGCCAAGGAGAGGCTCGAGCTTGTGCACGGGGACTTGTGTGGTCCGGTGACACCGGCCACACCGGGAGGACGACGCTACTTCCTGCTGCTTGTCGACGACCTCTCCCGCTACATGTGGGTGATGGTCCTCAGCAGCAAGGGAGAGGCTACGGACGCCATCAGGCGCTCGCAGGCTGCTGCGGAGGCGGAGAATTCATGGCGGCTGAATTCGTGTTGTACTGCGCTGATGAGGGCATTCAGCGCCACTACTCCGCGCTGTACAGCCCGCAGCAGAATGATGTCGTCGAGCGGCGCAACCAGACGGTTGTGGGGATGGCTCGGGCCCTTCTCAAGCAGAGGGGGATGCCAGCTGTCTTCTAGGGAGAGGCGGTGGTGTCGGCCGTCTACATCCTCAACCGTTTGCCTACCAAGGCGCTCGACGGTAGGATGCCGTACGAGGCTTGGCATGGGCGCAAGCCGGTGGTCTCCCACTTGCGGGTCTTCGACTGCCTCGCGTTCGTCAAGGAGCTTGGCCACATCAGCAAGCTCGACGACAGGAGCACTCCGGGAGTGTTCATCGGCTACGCGGAGGGCTCGAAGGCCTACCGTATCCTCGACCCGAAGACACAACGTGTACGCACGGCGCGCGACGTTGTGTTCGGCGAAGGGCGAGGATGGGCGTGGGACAAGTTGGTGGACGACGGCTCGGCTCCGACGTACGACGACTTCACTGTCGAGCACGTCCACTTCGAGGGAGCTGGGGGAGTAGGCATCTCTTCTTCGACGAGCGCGTCTACCCCAGTCCCCGAGCCTCCACCGACCCCGGTGCCTGCTACTCCGACAGGACCACGCTCTCCAGCCAGGACCTCGGCTGCGATGAGTTCTTCACCGGCTCCACCACAGCCGACACCGCCACGCACTCCAGCACCGATAGGCACCTCTTCGGGCACGTCTACTCCAACACCAGCTCGTGTTGAGCACAGCCCGGTTGAGCTTGCTACTCCGCTCTCTCACGACGAGGAGCGCATCGATGCGTACCATGACGGCGAGCCGTTGCGGTACCGTACGATAGAGAACCTTCTCAGCGACCAGCCGGTGCCGGGACTGGTGCCTCACGACCTGGAGGCGCAGTTGCACCTTGTGTGTGATGACGGCGAGCCTCGGCTGTTTGCTGAGGCTGAGAGACGCGCGGCATGACGCGCCACGATGCAGTTGAAGATGGATCGGTTGAGAAGAACCGCACCGGGGAGCTTGTTGACCTTCCTCGTGGTTACCGTGCGATCACCCTTAAGTGGGTGTACAAGCTGAAGAGGGATGAAGCCGGCACCATCGTCAAGCACAAGGCTCGCTTGGTGGCACGAGGTTTCGTGCAGCAGGAGGGGGTCGACTTCGACGACGCCTTTGCTCCCGTGGCACGGATGGAGTCCGTGCGACTCCTCCTTGCGCTAGCTACCCAGGAGGGCTGGCGTGTTCATCACATGGACATCAAGTCGGCGTTCCTTAACGGCGACTTGAAGGAGGAGGTCTACGTGCACCAGCAGCAGGGATTTGCGATCCCCGGCAAGGAGGGCAAGGTGCTCCGTCTGCGCAAGGCCCTCTATGGCTTGCGGCAGGCACTGAGGGCGTGGAATGCCAAGTTGGATTCCACGCTAAAGGGGATGGGCTTCGAGCAAAGTCCGCACGAGGCGGCCATCTACCGACGGGGCAGTGGGGGAAATGCTCTGGTGGTGGGTGTCTACGTCGATGACTTGGTGATCACCGGCACCAAGGATGCGGAGGTGGCGGCATTCAAGGAAGAGATGAAGGCCACCTTCCAGATGAGTGACTTGGGGCCTCTCTCCTTCTACCTGGGAATCGAGATGCACCAGGATGACTCCGGGATCACGCTTCGACAGACCGCCTACGCCAAGCGCGTTGTTGAGCTAGCTGGGCTCACCGACTGCAACCCAGCCCTCACTCCGATGGAGGAGAGGCTGAAGCTGAGCTGCGACAGCACGACGGAGGAGGTGGACGCTACGCAGTACCTTCGCTACCTCGCCCACACACGGCCGGACTTGGCATTCTCCGTCGGCTACGTTGCGGGGACTCTCGATCACGGCCTCTACTACCCTAGGTGCCCTAGGGCGGCACACTTCGTCGGGTACAGCGACAGCGACCACGCCGGCGACAGCGACACCA